TAATATTAAATGTTTCTCACACTCCCCAGGGTTGACAAATATGTTGCCAAGTAATCCCTATTTAATATGAATGACTTATCAGTGTCATTGTCATATTTGTTCTTTATTTACAAAACGTTTGATTGTTTCAACCGCCTAAGTTGTCCAGTTATGGCAGCATCTCTTTGAGGTCGTGTTGATTGAGGTAGTATTTGCTTATCTTCTTCTCGGTGCTCTGCTACTTTCTGATCGTCTGGCAACTGTCGTACTTCTATCGGGATCAGATGCTTGTCTTAGCTAAACACAGTTCTTGAAATAGCATTTTCAATTTAATTGTGAATAGCGTTAAGAAACCTAATGGATCGAAAATCTTCGAGTACCACTTTAGAAACGAACGTTTTGTCATTCGTAACCATTTAGTGTACTCGATTAATTCCTAGAAATTGAATAACAACATATCCGTATCAGTGTCCCAAATTTTCCCCAGAACTTTAATTTGTGTTTTATTTGCTGGTGCAGATTCTTGTGCCATCGATTCTTTAAATCCTCCTCAATAACGCCAGGTTGGTTGTCTGTAGAGCTTGAAACGACCTTACCCTCTAAGGCATTGATAGAATTCATCAAACTACTCGAATTTGAATGCCACTTTCGTAAGTTGAATCCGTCGGTTGACATTATTTCTTTGGATTGTTCGTAAATTTGGAATGCCTTTTCATCATTCTGCGCACCCGACACCAGATAATCAACATACAGGGATTCTCGTAAATGTTCTACCATTTCTGGATTGTTCTCTTGCAAAGTGTCTAGATGATGATTAATAGTCGCCCCCAGAATAGCTGGGGACGGCCTCAAACAAAAACTATTCGGCAAAATCGTAATTGAACTAGTTCAGGGTCATGATGTTCAATGTTCTTGAACCACAAAAAACGTAGCATATCGCGATCTTTGTTGCTGATCCCTACCATCAGGAAAGCTTTTTCGATATCAGCCACCAATCCAACACGATTAGCTCTGAATTTTACAAGTATTTCAAAAATCTGAGGAATATAATTAGGTCCGGTCGACAAACAGTCATTAAGCGAATGGTTCCGATCACCTGTCGTTGCCGAACCGTCATAGACTACTCGTAACTTGGTCGTGACTTTGTTATTTCGGATAACTCCATGATGCTGAAGATAATGCACACCCTCTTGATCCTTGTTGTCTTCTGCTACCTGGATCATTTCCACGATACCTGCTTGGATTTGATCTTCGATGCGCTTGTTATACTCTGACAGTAGCTCTGGCTGTTTCTTTAATTTTCGGTGAAGCAACTTTAAACGATTGTAACAGAGATCAAAATCATTTCCAATTTTTGGTCGATCTTCAATCCATGCCAGTCCAACCTCGTAACGTTCTCCTGTGAATCGTATATCTTTCAAGAAATTGCTTCCCTCCGGGTTACCTCCTTCCTCAATCGACTTAATTCCGATACTTTCGGTTTCCCAGAAACGTGAAAGCGCGGTTGTTAGGTCACCATTGCTGTCGGTCTGTGCGTGGGAGTTGTCGATACATTCTCCAGCGAAGATAAGGTTGCTCGTTGTAGACTCGTAGGTAGAACTCTGCGTTGAAGTTCCAGACAATAGCCACCCTAGTTCACTACTAATAGCTGTCGGGCTATTATCTCCTCGAACAACGTCTCCAGTAACTACGCTCCAATAGAAATCGGCACCGACTAGTATGTCAATGTTATCTTTGCATGTTCCTTTTGCATCGAAATCTGCAAGCTCTAGCTCCTGAAGATGCGGGTAATTATTGACATTTATCACAGAACTAACAGGCGAACAAATGGTCGGAAAACTAATTGCTCTAAGCTCAACGCTCTCATTTCCCCTCGTACTTCGAATATTGAACTTGAAAAGTTCACAATTTTCACGTTTCGTTTGGCTGTCTCCAAATGTGTTTAAATGCAATGTCTCTCGTTTCAGTGGTGTTAGCTTTAGTTGCTTAGCAAGATCATTAGTAATGTACGACCGCTGACTACCAGTGTCGAATAAAATGCGCACGGGCTTTGACCTAGAACCATTAGCGGCAACGGCTCTCGCAGTTTGCAGCTAGATGCTGCCCTTACATACTCCAGTTAATGTCCTTGTTTCACAGTCCTTGTTTGTTTCGCTCGCATTTTTTGTCCTCCATTATTTTTGCTCAGTTTTCGAGTTCGAGTCATTAGGATAAATTGATTGATGGTGTTTCCCTGAGCAGTATCGGCATTTTTTAGCATTTGCACGAACATTCGCTAGGTGTCCCTTGCCAAGACAATTAAAACAGCGCTTCGAATTTCTTAAAATCGTTTTTCGATCTTCGCTACTTACTACCTTTTCACATGAAGCAGAGTAGTGCAGCTCTTCGCAATAAACACACCATATTTGAAATATTCCAGAATTACCGCCCTTCGTAACAAATGCCCCTACGGTTGATTGACTCCCGGGTCGTTTACCCGATTGTTGTGGAGTTGACCGCACCCCCTCGCTGACTTCCCTCGCTTCTATTTCGATTTTTATAGTATCTAACAAGTCATCCATACGTCTCCTTTCGATTTTCGTGCAATTTCTAAACATATATCACTTGGTAATTTGGACATTATGTTGGGAATAAGCATACTTGTTATAAAGTTAGTGTCAAAGTTCAATTTTTCTGTTTCCCGATTGGTCGAAACCACGTCACGCGCCGGTCCACAAAACGTCATGTTCGGCAACCGGTCCGCAATCAAACATTTATTGACCAGTCAATAATAAGTAGGTGCAATACGCATGCGTGTCAACCATGAAGTTCCAAAGTTCATTTTTAAAACTTTTTACTAAACATTTACGGCGTTCCATTTATCTAGTTCTGGTTTCAAATTAAGTTCACTCCAATAACAGGTGAATTATTCATACTTTGACACTTATATACTACATAACAAAACACTTATTTACTGAGACCTCGGGAAAACAGTGTGTTTTGTGACCCCTCGATTGCCGTTGTTGCGGCGGTCTCGGGTCCACAAAACACACTGTTTCCCTCGGTCTCAGTAAATAAGTGATAATTCCGTATGAGGAAACCCCCAGAATCGCTAAACCTCGTACGTGAACGCTTATTTTATCATAGACATACCTTAGTTGTCCTGTTCGATTGCTCGTACAAGCTTGAATTTTTAAAATTTCGTCGATGTGGGCCGATACCGACTGTTGGGTTTTCGCAAATCGTTCTTGTAATATTTGAACAGCAGCGTCATAATTAATTTTCCCCGGTTAACGTAAGGCATCGCGCGCTGCATTTCCTTCAAGCAAAGTCTGTAAATAATTAAATTTATTTACTTTCGAGATACTCGGATTGCTGTGAATTGCCGAGTCGTATAAATCCCAATTTGAGTTCCATTCGGTTATTTGACCTCCAAATTTACGGGGTTCTAATTTTGGCAGCTTCGGTAAACTTGACACAAAATTCCCGGGCGTTGTTGTCGCATTTGTAGTTATTGTTTGCTGTGGGGAAGCCTGACTATTGACTGAATTACGACTCGTATCTTCTTCGATTTCGTTACCCCACGTCGTATTCGTTGTGCTTGTTGAACTTTCGATTAGATTCATTGTATTTCCCTGTTCTGTAGCCGAGTTCAAGTTCGAATTCGCGTCGTTTACATTCGTATTAATATTATCGTGTTTTGGCGGCTTTTGTTTGCTTGTCGATTTTTCGCTTCGTTTCTGATATTCTGTCCGATATTTTGGCTGATTCTTCGATCTTTACTCCGATTTCACTCACATCGCATAAGTTTAAAATTTCCTCGTCGATTTGGTTTAACAATGTCACCTTTTTTTAACTGGGTACGTAGCTATAATTTCGCATCTTTCGATATTTTCTGCTTCGGGTGTATGCAGCAATTCCATCGCTTCTTTCATAAGTTTTGTAGATACCCCGTGATGGCCTCCTCGCCTTGAACGAAACCTATCTAGTTTTTCCTTCGCTTCTTTCGTCGACATTGTTGGTTCGAATGGCAGCCTTTATTTTGAAAAAGCCTGGTCCACGTTTGGCGCCATATTATAAACTTTCGTAAACTTCGTGCTCGTTTGCTATGATTTGTATTAAACTTCAACCTATATTATTTACATATGGAGCCCCGGAGGGGCCATCAATAAAAAACACAAACTTTTTTGTAAAAAAAAGCACAAACTTTTTTTGAAAAAAAAAAACACAAACTTTTTTTGGAAAAAAAAACACAAACTTTTTTTGAAAAAAACACAAACTTTTTTGGCATGGTAGACTTTACGGGTAGCGGATTACGGAGTGCGGATGCGGATTACGGATGCGGATTCCGGTTACGGATTGCGGATGTGGATTGCGAATTGCGGATTGTGAACCCATGCAAATCGTTTATTTCTTCGGAAAAAGCCACAATAATTGCCTGTAGCTACTTGTAGCTATGCTATGCCCCCGAAGTATACGAGTATATCTGTGTTAGAACGAAGCAGCCGAATATTTCGACAATAAAGAATAAACCAAGTTCGAATAAAATGAAACACACAGATTCAAACATTTTGTAAGTCACATCGCGTGTATGGCGTGTATGGAGCTAAAGAATTCATTGACCGATGACAAATAGTGACAAAGCAAATATAGTGACGTTTAGTGTTTACTGCTAGACGTACATCCAGGCTCTAAATATTTACTTTCAAGAAAAATTAGGTAGATACATATTGCATTACTCCAATAGCTTTAAAATGGTTTAAATCGTATCTAAATGATCGTTACCAAGTAGTACAAATTGCATCATCCCTATCCAACCCAGCTCTGATAAAGTCTGGTGTGCCTCAAGGATCTATACTAGGACCAATTCTCTTTGTTGTCTTTATTAACGATTTACCCAGTTACGTTGGAAGTTCTAAGCCTTTTTTATTTGCCGATGACTCTACACTAATATCCTCCGGATCGGACCTTCACGAACTTCGTGTCTCTCTAAAGTCAGATATGACCTCAGTGTCCCGCTGGACTAACCATAACAAATTTAAATGTCTCTTAATCCTGGCAAGACAAAAATAATGAAAATATATTCCCAATCCAAATTCCCTGATCTTAGTCCAATAACCATTGAAGTCAATAACAATAATGTTAAGGAGATTACATCCGCCATTTTACTTGGAGTTACATTAGACCAACATCTGAAATGGGATAGGCAAATTAATACCATCTACAAAATAATCAATTCTAGACTTTACCTGCTCAAACGTATACGTAGCTATCTCACTTTTCAATCCCGTGTTCAATTATATTACGCACTAATCTACCCACACTTGCTATATTGTAGCACAGTCTGGGGCAATGCTAATAACGATCGAATTACTTGCCTACTAAAACTACAGAAACGTGCAGCGAGACTAATTCTTGAGCAGTCTACTGAAGTGCCTTCAATTGTGCTTTTCCGTAAACTCAACTGGATACCTATTTTTAATTTGATCAAAATGAGAAAAATATTATTGGTATTCAATACTTTAAAAACATCTTGGCCGCCGGATCTTCGTAAATTGTTTGTCTTTGTTCGCGACTCTCATCCAATTCCAGCTAGATCGTCTATTACAGACTTAAAAGTTCCATCAGTCAAGACTACGCAAGCAAAATCCAAAATTTCCATCAGTGGTGCAAGTTTATTTAATTCTTTACCTTCCGAATTAAAAGATATTGAAAATCACTCAATTTATTCCTATAAAAAGAAGCTCAAAACCTACTTTTTTCAATTGAATTATGAAGTAGATCACGTTAATAAATTCCGCTGCATCGATTGTAAGCATATTACTCGTTGTCAATGTTACTCTCAATAGGATTTTCTTTTTATATATTACTATTAGATATCGAGGGCCATTGGGAAGAATACTATATTAAATAATCAATGTAATCCCTCATTAAATAAAGTTTTATTATTATTATTATTATTATTATTATTATTATTATTATTATTATTATTATTATGTTTATTTACCCTGATCACTACAAATGTTTAAGTTGTTAATGAACAACCTCAAGAAATCGCATTTTGTGCAAGGCTGTCAAGGCTGATGATATTCTATTTATTTTAAATATTCTGGAGGAAACACAGTGAAGGTTAGTTGTTATAGTGAATACTATTTATCAATACTGATTACTGTTGATTTGAAACTCGATTTTGATAATTATACGGTGTCGGTGAAACGAGGACGCAAAATCATTGGACAATGGCGGATTTTCAAGAAAATCATTATTTTCAAAATAGGCCGTTTCAATTTTAATAAGTTTTCGTTTCAAATGTGTCTTTAAAGGTTTATAACTATATATTTTGAAAGCTTCAAATGCGTGTGTTTACACGCGCAGCAAGGCGAGTTGAGAATCCAATGAGAATCCATGTGTTTCCAGCATAAAATAATATCGCTAGTCATACTCTTCGGAAAAAGCATGACTAAGAATTAATATAACACGTGTATGCAAGGAGCACAATTGCTTGCTAACAGGCCAGTAATGGAAGGAAAAAAATGAGCGATATTAAACTGGGATTGTTGTTTTCCTTTTTCTTAAAAAAGTCAGGAAGCCGAATATTTTGAACTATTTAACAAATGTAAATGGGAGCCATGTGCCGCATACTCGGCGCAACTACGCAAGTGCATACTGTTTGCAAGAATATAAGTATAATGCATATTTTAATATTTTTTTTAATATTTGGTTACAACCAGCATGATTGCCAAGACAGCTAGTTTTGCCACTATCAACGATAGCCTTTTGAAATCGGGTTGAAAGCATATAAGTGAAACACACGACATTTTGAGAGGAAGTTTTGCTTTAGAATGGGAAGGTGAAAATTCAGTGTGAAAATTCCAGAATTCAATGGAACACATTAATCCTGTGAAATAAGATATCAATTTTGGATGAGTATATCCACTTGTTGATCAAAAATAATCAATTCATCCAATTCATTCGATATTCATCATATATGATCGCTGGGGCCAACCAGAAGACCTAATCAATAGCCTGCTGAGTTGGGTTTCTGCTTTAGGGAGAGGGATTGGTGTAATTTATTTAGAATTACGCCAATTTTTGCCACTGGAGAAGAGAAAACTAAGTTTAAACGCTGTTCCCATTTTCAAAAAAAATGTTTCTTATACACTTGTTAAGTAGAACCCTAACCCTTCGACTCCCGAGTTTATGCGAGGGTTTTAGCATTTGTCAAGTGTTAATATCCGGCCCTGAAAATATTCCTCAAATGAAAAATTACCGGACAGGAAAAATCCAGGATTTCCCTTTTTCAACCAATGTACGTTGTAAGATTGTTAATTAACAATTTGTTACACTCATATCGGAAAAACTTGCGCATGCACCTCTGTCAGTTCAACTGTTTTTCATTTTTGTAATATTAAATTTTTGGTAGGTTCACAATTATGCCAAAAATAATGTATTGCCTAGAATTGTATTGCTTCAGGATTGTGAATACTTATTGCCTTCAGTAAATTGAATAAATCGGTAATTCCGTTTCCTACAAGTGAAGGAAGTTACATTATAATAGCATGCGCGTCGAGAGTACCTTGGGAATTTTTTTCCCACAAAATCATTGTTTATGCAGATTTGTTGTCTTGTTTCTTCCATAGACTCGAATATGCCACAGAAGTTTTGAAAGGGATACTGAAATTGATAATCAACCAAATTTTAGTACTCAAATGACAAATTGAAAAATGACCTGAGTCCATAATGCGAGTTAATTAAATGCCCGGTGTTATGCCGGGTATTATGCCCGCTATATGTCCGGTATTAAAATAGTACGGCATAAATTAGAGATTCTAGATCAACTATACTTAATAAATGGAAGGACATTCTCACGGAAAGTCATTTATATTTGGTTCTATATTTCCAGAAGTATAACGATTCTAGTATATCAATTTACATCAGCTTAAATATATCACAAATTTGATTTATTTTAGCTCACCCTGACTGTGAAGTGAAATATGTAAGCTTGGGCTGTTACAACGCGGTTGACGACGACAACAACAACAATATGGCAATGCCGGAGCTCTTGATTAATGAAATATCCCCGGCCAGTGACAAATTTTATGGCTATATGTTGGAGTTTGATGAATCCTGGGAGACAATGTATTCACAATTGTTATGTCGTTGTGCACGAGCCACTGAAGATAAAGGATACGAGAACTTCGCCATTCGAAATAAAGGCGCAACTATGTGTTACTTATATAAATACAAAGCCTTAACGTTCAAGGAAATTGCGTCTGATATTATATATTTTCCAGGAAATTCCATGCAATTCATTACTAGTCTAATAGAAATTGAAATATAGTCGCGTGCGTTAATGGTGTGATAGTGCTCCCGGGGAATATTGGGACAACACCGCATGCAGAATCGTTTAAAAAATAAGGCGTTGCCGATCGATTTACACGGTTATTGAGTATTCTCCAAACATTCTCCCAGTGAATTATCACACCATTAACGCACGACAAGATTGTCTATGTTCCCTTCATTATTATTATAATTGTTTCCCTTCGGCTAAACCTAGTTCACCTGTTCAGATTTGATAAGTTAAGATTGTTCAGACAATTCCTTCTCATTTATAAACTGTTTCACATTTAAATTTATATAGTCTCTCAATTTTTGTAAATTCTACTGTCCAAACATGTTGAATGTTCAACATCAAAAGATGTTGAATGATTGAAAACACATGCACAAAACAGCTCAACGAAGACATTTCCATTGCATTCCTTAGATTCTTAAGCCCGTGCAAAACAGATCACAGCTGGGATGTTTGGCGCTCCGTCCATAACATGCAGGTTCCACGAAAAATAGTGCAGATATCTGCCAATAATTATATATATATATATATATATATACCACGAGAATGTGTAGAACAACTGTCTTATTATACGAGCAGCTAACTATAGCATTTACAGATTCTTCAGGATCAAAATATTTTGAAAGCTATTTTGGCAACCCACACAGTTTGGTCTATACCCGAGGAAACCGCTGTATACTGAATATTTCAATCGGCACTTCAAACATTGCTAAACCCGTTATCTCATTTATTCATAAAATTGTATCTAAATTATTCAAGATTCTTTAGACAAACAAGTGCTTGTTGATTTCACCTGTATAAAAGTTTCCTGGCTTTAAATATGTCAAAAACATTATATTCTGTGCTGTATAGCTGAAAATGAGTTAATATTCTGCTAGTTGTGAGCCAATCATATTGCAAAAAAACTTATATCCGTCAAAAGATGTCTATATAAAAACTAGAAATATTCGTAGGGGTTTTGCTAACGATAAAACGAGATTAACAGGGAACAGTGAATAATAGTTCGAAGTATTACGTAGGCTACAGAAAATCGTCTTTCTGAATCAGGTATTATCGATCCTAGCTCTCATATGTTAAGATTAATTCTGAACGTCGTAAATCATGTAGACGTTAAGGCTGCATTCCAGTCACGCGTTTTTAATACGTGTATACGCGCACGTAAAAGTTGAATTCGCTTAAAATTGCAAATAAGCGCATATAAGTGCAAATAACCTTAACAAATACACATTAAATCATACACAAAACTGAATGCTGTCCTTTTATAAATTTAGTTATTTCATAAGTAGGATGTAAAGTGAATTCAACTTTTACGTGCGTGTACGCACGTATGAAAAACGCGTAACTAGAATGCAGCCTTTAATTTTAAAACGTAGATAATGTGCTATTTCATGTATTTGATCATTGGAGTTGTATTAGTTTTAGATGAGTGATATTTATTTCTAATCTTCCATCGTAGGCGAGTGTTGGAGTGGACCAAGTTCAGGTCAGTCGTATAATCTATATGGAGAAAGTGGTAGCTGTTTCCGTAACGAATCAGACCCGTGTGTAGACAACATCAAGTGCGCTGGAGATGAAAATAGTATCAATGTATACAAGCTATTGTGAAATACTGTTCACATCGGGAAAAATAGATACAATGATTAAAAGACTTTGAAAGACGGCTAATCACGCTTTTTTATATTCTATCTGAACTTTATTTATTTTATGACTTGATGATGTTGCTTTATATATATCATGTTACACATATTGGAAACTTAAATATAGGTATTATTTCCAGATTATACACAATTGTAATTAAAATGCCTCTTACTAGGCCTATAGGTAATTTACAACATATACGTTACTTAATAACTAGATATGAGGACATAATTATAAGAAATAAACAGTTAAAACTGATTTGTTTAAAAAGTTAATTCTGGATGTGTCCATTATACTTGGTTTGGCAAAGATATATATTAAGTTGTTAGGGTCGCAATCTTCATAATAAATTCTTCTAATGCAGTAATTTTGATGATTGTTTTCATTGCCAAGATCATCTAGCATTTCTAGGAAAGTGGAACACTCTTTCGCAAACACGCCAAGAGAGCTGATTGATCTACAAATCTTGCAATAAATAATAATAAAAACAATGATTTCATTGCTACTTCATACTATAATTCTTAGTAAAATCTGCTTATGTTGTAGTAGTGGGGAAAAGTTAACCGCCACTTGATTCTGATGGATTACGTGAGGCTTTGTTCCAAAAGTGAGAGAGCACCTTCAATTCGCTAATTCAGACGGTATGTGTGTTTGTGAAGATATAGGTCTGTAGTTTTATTAATTTTTTTTTTCATGACACGAAAAATTATCCGGCCGAAATTTATGTAGCTAACAACGAAGCAGGGTTATTAATAATGGTAATTGAATCCGAGTGGAGTGCAATTTGGACTGAAATGAAACGCGTGATTACAAAATCGCACGACCGCGAAGCGGGAGTGCGATTTGTAATAACAAGTTTGATTTTAGTCCAAAATTACAAGACACTAAGTTCAATTTCCACTTTATTATATTCATTTTGAAATCTTTAAATATTTTTGTATTAAAACGGAAACGTTTCATATAGACTGTACCGTACCTTGAATGCTATGGCATTAAAAAATACTCATCATCACAAGCATTGACAATAGACATTCCAGACAGCCATGAAAAACAATACAGTATATGTACCATTCATAGCTTGTTCGACTACATCGCGGTTTTCTTAATCCGAAATGGTTATCGCAGGAATGGCTATCGCACGAGCAAATAAAGTTGACTTGGTCATTCATTATTGATCTTACGATCGCAACAATCACACTGGAATCTCGAGACCTTTTCATACAGCTGCCACAAATGGTAAACACTGCTAAATTAATTACTTATTAAGGACTTCTCTAAGCCTGTAGGTAAACTTATGAAGATGTTTTTCTTTTAAAAGAATATTAAATCTCGATTGCTTCTTTCTGCCCTTTCAACAAGTGTCGTATAATTTGAATTGGGATTTGTACTCGTCAATAGCATTTTGCAAAATTTGTTTCACCAAAGACACCATTTTGCTAAATGTATCATTTTGTTGAACTGAATATGTTAACGAATTGGCCATTCGTAGTGCGTGTATTTAAGCTTCCGAACAATTGCCAATCACATTTGCATACAGAAGTCCATGCAATTAAAAATTATTGTTTCCTGATTCCCCTGAGAAAGGACAGACTGCACGCAGGCTTACTTTGAAAGGATTTCACGTACTTTCAAAATAGAAGTTTTCATGCATGCACGTCAGTCAAATCAGGCCAAATTCAGAGATTGTTGTAGGTTTCGCTTTAAATTTGTAAACGCGGAAAGTAGACCTAAGTATTTTGCAACGTGTTCGATTTAGTGTACACATATACCTAAAACAAAGGCTACAAGGTTTGCTTATAAAACAGCCGCCAAAATCATGTGACTCTGTGCTGGTTTTTACTGGCATTTGCATGACTTGACGTCACCTAAATACCCACTGACAGATATAAGAACCAATAATATTGGTACACTGTTTACCTTTGAATGGCATGTTTAATTGGTTCTCGAACGATTGTGTGTGATTACGAAATAATCTATATTAAATAACCCAGGGTTTTATTGAAAATTCGTTAGGGGAGGGGGGGAGGGGGATGGAGGGAGAAGGGTGCATTTACCAAAGACGAGCACCATACATTACTGCCTGTGCCTGGGAAGACGACAGGTGGTTGCTTGTGAAAATATGTTTGATTTTGCTGTCCTATGTACGAGACTCTGACGACATTCTCTACAGGAAAATGTATATGTATTTTTGGACACTACATCTCCCCTGTTTTCTAAAATAAATTTTTGAATGTACAGCGTTGCATTTGCATGATTATTATTTAGGTAGGTTGAATCTTCAGTCAATTGCTTGCATGATTTGTTCTTTTAACAATTAACACAACTCGGTCAGTAACTTGTGTAGCATAGCCTTCGAACAACTCATATCTATAGAGATTGGAATATTCTATCCACTGGGATATTTGTTAGATCTAAGGTGTTTACATCACGATGTATAGCATTTTTAAAAAGACATTGAATAACTTGAAGATAAAAGAATTGACTTAGGATTCTCAAAGGCAATTTAGCTTACTAGAATCAAACCTCTCTTCTAAATTTCATTTCTCTTGAAATGTTTTCCATTTTTGGGATTTTGACCAAAAGGGGGTTTGGGTGGGGCTATAGTTAAAAAGGCCCTTTACTATCCATTATCCAATATGGTTAGGTTTTAAATACTGTCCAAATATGGAAGCTGGATTGCTAAACTAGTCAATTTATTATAATGAAGAAATATGTCCATAAAATTATCTAATAATATGTCGTAATATGTCGTAATATGTCCTATGATGAATGAATTGAAATGTACTCTTTTATTGATATTTTTCAACATCCTGTGGCCTAGAAGAAGCTTGGTTTTGTCGTTTCTATAGACAGTGATAAGATGATATGCGCATGGGGAAAACAAACTGCATGGGTTCCACATTTAAGTATGTTTTCTTCGATTTGTATCCATCGCGATATTTCTATAGGCCTATGAGATTTTCGGGCATAAGAAGGTCTAGATTTTTAATTGATCAGATTTCTTATCATGATAAAATTGATAAACCTGCTAAAGTGCTGTCAAGTTTTCAATCAATTTTTAAGTTTTAAATCCACTACGATTTTTTTAATTATATTATTTTCGCCATACCTTTCAAACAGCCACTGAAATCAACTCTCAACCCCACACTGCCATGCCATGATTTTGGGTGTATTCTGATGTATCTTGCAATGATGACCGGGGAAATGCTCTGATTAACTATCGTGATGTTATCATAGTTGGCTGAATATATCTGAAAAAAAAATCAATCAGCTATATACTCCAAGCAAAAGAAAGACTCCTATAACTATATCCTCTAACAATTCCGCATACTGCAATATAATAATGAAAAGTAGTTTAAAGATGAATGAATGACCGTGTAGATTGAATTGTCCAGGATTAAATATGCGGACCTGGACATTTTATGAACGCGTGAACAATTACTTTCAAATTAATCAGTCAACCAAACAACCAACCAACCAACCAACCAACCAACCAACCAACCAACCAACCAACCAACCAACCAACCAACCAACCAACCAACCAACCAACCAACCAACCAACCGACCAACCAACCAACCAACCAACCAACCAACCAACCAACCAACCAACCAACCAACCAACCAACCAACCAACCAACCAACCAACCAACCAACCAACCAACCAACCAACCAAACAACCAACCAACCAACCAACCAACCAACCAACCAACCAACCAACCAACCAACCAACCAACCAACCAACCAACCTACCAAACAACCAACCAACCAACCAAGCTGTAGTTTTGAATAGCCACAGAGATTTCAAATTATTGTTGTTACATTGAGTTGTCCGCTAGTTTTTCTATTTTTGTCCAGATTTGTCTCAAAAATGGTTTACCGCAGCATGGTTTTTGGGAACAAGCTTGGAATTCATGAAAATATTTGATCGATTGATTGATTGATTGATATGTACATCTTTTTTTAAAGCACGAGATCCATTTCACAAGTTAAATATGTGCTCTTCAATGAAGATGTGTACCTATGCTAGTAAACTATTTTCTAATAAATAAATATCAAAATATTTTTACAAGAGTTACTGACTACAGTACATATGCAAAGAAAGTAATATAATAAAACTATTAAAAAATTTTAGATTTAAACTCAGCGTGAGATTTAGGTAAAGCGAGTTTGCAATTGACGGATAGGTAGGGTAGCTCTTCTGTAAGTAATGCTTTTCTTTAATGATTCAGTTAAGGCACTTGGAACAAAAAGTCTATGATTATAGCCTCGCAAATTGTGTTCGTTTATAACAGAAGTTGGAGAAAATTTTCTTGACAAGTAACTGGGAACCATGTTATTAATAGTTTTGCGCATAGAAGTTTTAAATATGCGCCTGGTTTCATGCTTGGTCCAATTCAATGATGTTAAGTATCTGAGGACCGAAGTTGTAATCGGATTCAGTAAATAACTAGAAATACATGCATGCAGTAACCCCTCGCCAATATTTTCCAAACATTAAATTAACATGAAGTATTCAGAAATGGCCGACACTGAACGCAGGCTCGCGCTAAAATGTTGCCATGACAACACGATATCTAAAATTTTTAATTTTTTCATATTTTTGTACAAAACTGCAAAATAGTTGAAAGATTCGTACTTTTAATTAACTATACAACAATGAATTTCCGAAATATACACTGTAGGTATATTATTTTGCATTTTGTGAGCTTTGATTTAAGGGGGTTAATTACTAAAATTTTGACTTTATGGGTAAAATTTATGAATTTTCAAAAAACTCAAAATTAGGTTCTTTGAAGCCTTATCAAACGTTACTGAGACTTTTATTGTAAAAAAAACATACTAAGTTAGGGAAAAATGACAAAATACCAAGGGCTTTGAATATTTCCGCCATAGCAACGCGCTTAGCAACCAAAGTTTGCTGTTTGAAATCGAGGTAAAAATTGTTTATAAAATAGTGATGTACAATTTTAGGCTACTAACATGAAGTATTAGCTCCACTACAGCCTTCCCTTACCGCTTGACAACCTTCTCTTCTCATCGTGGGCTTCTTTATCATTCTCAAAAATATCACAAGAAGCGTTTTTCTCTGTGTTTATTTGTGTTTTATTACACCAAAATTTTGCTTATTTCCGAATAATCTGCAATTGTTTCACTGATATTATGGCAAGAGAGAATTCAAGGGCAAAATAAACGGCGATTTAGTGGAAATAGATTTGTTAAAAATGCAAAGAAATCGTGTACAAATGGACCCACCAAAATTGTGCTAACAGTAAATATGACGCCGACGCTCAATCAACTTCCAGTGCAAGTGTTTCAGCTTCATCGCGAAAAATCAACGTTATAGAATCGCCAAATGCCACTAAAGAATCGCTACATGCAACAGGCTATCGTTTCATTGATACAGAAATTCTCAGTGAAGTTTTTCAGCAAGTAGTTTGCAAAGAATATGGTGAATCCTCATCCCTCGTGCTTGAAGATAAAAAATTCGAACGTAAGGGTTGTGCATCTCATCTCATCTCCGCTTGCGATGCGAGGAATGTGGTTGGGTTTTTACGTTTTATTCTTCAAAGAAGGTAAAGAAATCCTTTGAATAAAAGGCTTGTTTATGCCTTGTGCAATCCATTGGTAAAGGACATGCCTCCATGAAAAGGTTCTGTACTCACATGAACATGCCATCACCAGCATACCGAGATTGTAATATGTAGCGCCCTATCAAAAGCTGCTAACTCTGTTGCCACCAAGTTTATGAATGATGCAGCTGTTGAGGTTCATGGTGAAAATCCTGGTCAAATAACCCAATGTAGTATCTCGTGATGATACCTGGCAAAGACGAGGATATTCATCCCTCCATGAGTGTGTCACAACCTTATCCATTCACGGACACCTTGATTGACAAACTTCAAAACTATTATGGCATTGCCATTAGAAGTAATTGTGGAAATTTGGAGGGAATGAAGGCTGCAATTTATGCCAGCATTATCCATTGTGTCTCATCAAAGAAGCGAAATTTACATACTTGGTGTCTTGATGGTCCGGACAGCTGGTGCCGCTTTAAACAAGACAAGGCAAATAATACTGACTTATATAAGTGTGGACATGGTCTTCCCGACAACATCATTGCTCAGATTAGGCCCACTTATGATAGACTAAGTAGTAATGATTTGTTGGTCAAATGTTTGGATGGGAAAACTCAAAACCAAAACGAATCGTTGAACGGCATCATTTGGAACAGGCTTCCGGGGAGAATTTTTGTGGGTGGCAATGTTCTGCAGTTGGGTGTGTATGATGCTGTTGCTCATTTCAACATGGGTTCAAGGGCTTCTGATGATATCTTACAACAAGATGGGCTAGTTCTTGGCTACTACTTTGAAGAGGTTGTCTGCAAAGCTGATAAAAAGCATGTAAAGAAAGCAGATCATCGAGCTAAGCCGGATGTCAAAAAGAGGAGAAAGGTGGTGTGTGCCAGAAAAAGAAGAGGGAAGATAAAAATCAGGAAACAGAAGTCAATACCTATGAGGCAGGGACCTTTTAACACTAAACTGGTCCATTCGTAAGGTTTATTAATCAATTGTAGGTCAATATTGTTTTGAAAATCAATATGTTCAACTTTTGAAAATCAATATGTTTAAATTTTTTCTCAAATTGCCGAAATCCACCAATGGCCGTTATTGCATGCACAATATCTCAAAAGGTATTTAAGCTATTGACTTCAAGCTTTCAGTGTAGCTTTTGTATTGCATTCTCTTGGGGATGAACTAGAATCATAAAAATATATGCAATAGCATTAAAGTTGTGATAGTTAGTATCATTCCGATAATATGTATTTTCAATATTTTGTCCGCAAAAAAATTATTTTTGCTTCAATCACCATAGTTCTAGTTCATCCCCAAGAGTATGTGGTATACTATTAAATAGAAGTTATTTTAGGTTTTTATCATTCATATTTCTTGAGATATCATGTTTACAAATATGTTGATTTTTCACCACCGGGGGGTAATTAACATGGTAACCATGGCAACGGTAACTTTGAAAAACATTTTTTTATGTTAGTGGTACCATGCCCTAAAAACTGACCAAAGATGAACATCATAGCATTAAAACACACAGAAAAAAGTTTTTGAGTATTGGATCCCCTGATTTAATGTAAAATTGAACTTGAAACGCTTCGTGAAATTTTTGAAATGTTCATTCAAGTATTCAACTAAACTACATTTGAAACGATTGTGAAACGATTATGAAACGATTTTCCAAATTCTTTTCTTTTAAAATTGAAATCTTGCTTATCCCACTCTCACAAGCAATCAGCCATATGTTTGAGATCAGTGAGGATGACCACCCACTCAAGTACGTTGGTCACGCCCGCGATATTTGATGAACTTTAGACTCCGCTAATGCTTTCGTTTCCCCGGGTGTAAATAGCCGGGGGGAATTAGTACCCTCGCACGGCGCTTCGCGCCGCCGACTCGGGGATTATTGCAGCCATGTTCTGTAAACCCTGTAGGTTTTGTCTAAGACCCTTGCCTAATCTATCCAAAACCATGCTACAGTAATCAAAGTGTGGCTGTATTAAAGAGTTGTAAATCAAGGCAAGAGTTGACTGTGGAAGTAATGATTTTAGTCTTCGTAAAACTCCAATCGCCTTGGAGACTTTGGAGATTATAGCAGAAACAAGATAATCCCATATCAAGCTCTCGTGGGTTCTGACTCTTTCCTTTTTATTTCCGGAGATATCGACATTAAGTTCTTCTATGATAGCATTTCATATGATAGAATTTCGCTCTATTTAACATTGTTCGAGTATTAATATAGCATATTTCAAGCGGAATTTTTCGTGGTATTTTCGTATTTCTACTACAAATACTCGCGAAGTTCTTTATATTAATAACGTCGGAAATCTCATGGGCTCCATTCCTAATGAAAAAGGTTTTAAAATGGCTTTTCTAAACATTTTTAGTCTGCCTAAGAAAATTGATGAAATAAGATATTCAATGTCAAAAAAGTATACTGATCTTATTGCTTTCAATGAGACACGACTTGATTCCAATATAACTGATAATATCGTACACCTTACTGATTATGATATTATCAGAAAAGATAGAACAAGAAATGGTGGTGGATTTTGTATATACTTGCGTAGCTCCATCAACTACAAAATATGAAATGATCTAGTTCGATCTGAACTAGAGGTTGTTTGTATTGAAATTATTAAGCCTCGTAGCAAACCATTTCATGTTACTACAGTTTATAGACCACAAAGTGCATTATCTGAATTCTTTGATCACTTCAAAAATTGATAAAAGCTATTGACAAGGAAAATAAAGGAATGTATATTCTGGGTGATCTAAACTGTGATTTGCTAAAATCAGATAATGAATCTAACATTTTTACAAAAAAAATTAAGTCATTGTACGAATTATATCAGTTATCGCAACTGATAGATGATGCTACTCGAGTAACTATGAAAACCACCAGCCTAATTGATCATGTTGCTACTAATACACCAGAGAAAATTTCTGATTCTGGTGTTATTCATACAGGTATAAGTGATGATAGATTAGTATTTGCCATCATTAATAATTCAAGCACGTTAGGTGAAAGAACAGCCCGAAAATAAGTAAAACACACGCCAAATCATTGTGGGAGAATGGGTTCAGGGTGAAGTGAACCAATTATATACATTATACTCTCAAACTCTGGTCAACCCAAATTATGTTTTCATCCCGCAGGCGTATATATAAGACCTGCTAGGAGAGACTGAATGCTCCATAGGAGCTCTGCCCGAAGGGTAGCGACCCCCTCTGACATAGACCTGAACCAAGGGGTGATAATCCCCTTGGACAGTATCTACGATTCGACTGATTATATTTACATAAATAACCTGAGTCTATGGGCCTGAAGTTGACCATTGGGAACATTTCAACTCCACAAATACACAGCATGTGTATTCCCCATAGACGAACTCCCACCACAGCTGTATTTGTATACAAGACAGCTGCTGCCAGATGATAGTTAGACATATATTTGGGCGTTACCATCACTCATACTATAGCTGGATAGTCAGGGAGGTCAGAAAAAACCTGGAATATACAGGAAACCTGGATGGGGCCAAGACAACCAGCAGCTTCCCCACAAAGCTTCTATCTTACATTTTTTTAATTGGAGGGTTGGTAACACGACAAACAAAGCTCACTATCGAGGCACATTTTATTTATTTTTATTTATTTATTTATTTATTTATTTTTTTATAAAGTTAATGTGTTCAAAATACGTTTTGCACGACATTTATTTGTTAACCACACTTATTTTATTTCAATTATGATCAGTGGAACTTTCTCGAATTATGTGACATTACTCTCAGAAAAATAGCTTATTCATTACTTTAATTCAAAATAGCAAGACCAAAATTTTGCGATCGAACATCCGATCATGCATGCATGATATTAGCAGAAAGAAATTGTAAGAATATGTATGTGGTAGTCAAAATAGATTATATGCAGTAAATAATGGTACATCAAAGGATTTTCAATTTTCAAAAGCGTAGGCATACATGGTATCGTACCAATCTTTCCTGATATCCATCTTGCCGATTTATCGCAAATGTGCATAAACATGTGTCATGTGCAAAGTTTTAAGTCTCAAATTTCGTTCACAAATGAGCTTGCTTTCTTAAGTTTTGAACAGTAAAGTATTGAAAATGTATGCAGGTCAAATTAATTTTGTGAAATAGCTGAAAAAGAAGTTTTATAATTCTACTTTTGAGCGATTGAATACAGTTTAATGTAAGGCCTGATTGAAACCCAATCCAACTCCAAATCTGAGGCGTAATCTGAAGCCTTAAACTGCGGCTAACCTCAAGGTAGTAATAAAATTGTCATTGGAATTTTTGATCGACAAATATAAATACACCAGAATGTTGTTATAAAATAGACGAATTTTAATACATTTTGGTTGGTTTGAGATGCGGAATACGAAACAAACGTGTCAATGCACCGCATACTTACGCGCCGAATACCGCTTCACTTTAGGAAGCATGTGCCTTGAGACATGGAATGGATATCAATTGAACGCTTGTTGATTTTGTGTTTAGCGGCTTTAGCCTATCGATCTTGTAGTTATTCCCCCAGCGGCGGTTTCATTTAATGGTAATAACTTCGTCGGGACTTGGGCCAACGTATTCCTTTGTCCACCAGAAGAGTAAAAGCGCTTGTCCGGTAGAGTTCTATTTGAATAAACTGCGTCTCACTGAATTATCATACTGAGTTACTGACCAAATTTTCTTTAATATAACCATGATATGTCAATTCCAGCGTTCATAAACTCTTTTCTGTCACATTGTCTCAGTTCATTCGATGTCCGTAATTCTTTACAGCTCCGCACCAAGTCAAATTTTCAAATTTTCTTTCTCGGTAACAAGACATTGCTCTTTGTTGGGATATTTGTCAAAGTGAACTCCCTTATCACATTGACATTTGTTCTGAGTGTTCGTTGTTGACATATGATTGGTCAGTTGATCTTTCATTCGGTTTTACACATGCCCAGAGAAACATTTGAACTTTGGACTATTGGATATCGCCTTTTTGTGGCTGTTGACAAGCTTATCCTGTTACTATGAGATTATAACTAGGTTTGAAGGTGACAAACGTGTTGTCTCATTAACTTGAATTTATATATTGTTATATATAAATTTGCTGAAAAATGTCTGTTATTGGTATAAAAAAAACAACAAGAAAATATTGCGGAGTTTTAAATATAGTGTCGAATTCCACCATTAGCTTCGAGAAAATTGTCATCAACGAAGCTAACAAGTCTTTGGTGAAGCTCTTCCGCACGCACGTCAGTTTCTAAATGAATGTTATTAAAGTCTAAGAAATGGTCACCTGTGGACTGAAACCAAAAGTGAGCCCGAATTGCTAATAACAAAAAGTGCTCAAAGTATTCCGGGAAATTACAAGGCAGTAATTGGTTACTTGATCCAATACAATATTCAGTCGGGTTGCTTTTTTTCTTAGACAAGTTAACCCGTCGATAAAAAATTGGGCGAAGTTTGGATCTAACGATAATGTACATTGTAAATGTTGACGCAATGCTTCAAAGGATGTTATTGTTTCTTGTTTTGTGTGAGACCACAGTACGTTGATAGCTTGTTTCTTGTTTTGTGTGAGACCACAGTACGTTGCTAGCTAGAGTCACAGGTCTGTGAGACCACAGTACGTTGCTAGCTTGCCATACTAACGAGAAAGACAACTACACTGTAGCTATGCGAATAATTGAATTGCGTATTGCATGGGCACTTACGAGGTCTTGCTGTACGAGCTCTGATTCGTAGAAGGACTAAAAAACTGCTTCGATTTTACCTTGCTGTGGTTCGAGAAACTTTCTTCTGAGCTGTGTATTATGATCTCTACTGTATTAGGGATCGAAAGATAAGAAAATAAATCGCTGCTCAATTTCAATGATACTATTTATTTTGATATGTCACGTTTTCGTTGTTCTATATGGCGTTCTGACAGCTGTATTGTGTTTTCGAAACTTGTAATTGCAAACTGAAAAGTGTTATTACAACTTTATTTCGAACGATATAGTTTTACATTTCATTTTACCAAATTTCTCAGCCATTTTCTGAAAATATTATTGCTAAACAGAAACTATTTTTAATGGTAAAAAAGTCATTCCGTTATTGTGTTTATATTCTAAGCAGAAATCGATCAAAACAACTTTGTAATAAAGCAATAAAGGGACACAAGAAGCCATTTTGAAAGCGTATGCGTACAAGAAACACTGCAACACTGTTAGGGACAGTAACTGTGAACAGGCCGAAATCAGTTTATTTCTGTATTTTAATTGAACTGATATTTGGATATTTTGTTTTATTCATTAAAAATTTCTACTAAAACAATTATTCCCCTCAGGCTTAGTGATTACGATGAATATTCTCCTCGACTTCGTCTCGGTGAATATTCACCGGTAATCACTTCACGAATAATTGTTAAATAATTACTGATGTTAAGCAATATCAGTATGCCGTATATGGCGCTACACTGAATGCCAGGTGGCAGATTTTAACCAGAAACGCAATCAAAACATACCTTTCTGATTGTCGGCCGCTCGTTTATTTATATTAATGTCTATGAATTTGTAAAGTTTTAACAATTAACTGGTTTCAACATGTATTGACAGTTATGTCTAAACTTGAAGATATACAGTATATATTTCGGTAGTCCATAGCACTTGTGAAAAAAATATTTTAAACGGCCAGTGAAATCCAGCCAGTCCCAGATACAAGTCGTTGGTTGTATTTTTACGTTGTCGTATCCTTGTCAGTCCGCGTATCTTTCTTCATAGTGACACCACCTTTAGATCGTTCAAGATTTGTCAAGTAAAGCGATATTCATTGGCTGTCTGAATATAATCACTACAGTTGTAGTTTGATGTAATTCGTTAATCGTTACCGTAAGTTAAATTAAATCATTTTTACTTTCCGTAATGATTGCCAATGTATGAAGTTCCTAAATTTGCGTTGCGACGCACCTACACGTTTGATTACTCTCTCGCCCCGGCAATACATTTAAATTAATACGTATGGTAGGCGTAAGATGAGAATAATTTTATGTGTCTTTGGGCAACAACTTCCAAGGGAATCCAAAACGATTTTGCTCATCAATGAAACATCAGTCGAAAATGCGCAATATCCCAGATATTTGATGGGTATGGTAGTTGGAAATTTCAAGAGGAAATTTATATACATTTATTAGACCTAACCAGGAACAGAAGCGAAAAATGCTACTTGGTTCCTGGTAGGAATTCAACCTGCGGCCCTGAAAATGGACAACTATAGGAACACACAACCAGGAAGTCGAGACGCAGATTATGTCTTGTACTAGTTCGGCCACAACCGGAAGTATGCTACCCAAATGTGTGAACCACACAATTAATCGAACTTTACGCTTCCTTGAACGGACTCGGAGAAGAGGATCCAATTGCATCCACAGTTTTCCATTCTCCTATCCTACTGATATACCACCAGACTTTAAGCAGTAGCACTCAAACTTATTCGCTGTTGGTGTGAATAACTGGACAATGTGCTAATTTATAAAATAACACATAACCGAATAATCAACGAAGCAGCATTACATTCAACTATCCGCATTTCCAGATCCGCTAGATTCTCCGCGCCAATAACAGTCTAAAGTTCGTCGTGCCAATTTGCCAATTGCAAAATGCAAAACAATAACATACCAAATATTGTCAATGATTCATGCAACCCGAATATGCAGCCATGTCGTTGATTAATTCAATTTGAATACAGATATAATCTTTTATCATTTAAAATTGTAAATATTTAAGCACACGCTTGAGAACCAGTTCAATTTGACAACAACAGTATTCTATCTAAATAGCAGTTAAAATGAAGTGTACGCCACCTGAACTGTTCAATATCTTGCCTGACAATGCTCGTACCCTACTTTTATAGATGTTATGCAAATACTGTGTGTTTTCAAAATTCGCCATATTTATTTACATTAGGTACCAAGCTCAGCAACATTTCGTAGCTCACGCCCGTGATTTGCACTATAGATAGACATAGATAGACATAGACATAGATACTTTATTATAGCTCCCTAAAAAGGGCTCTTCCGCTACAGTTGATAAATACAATATATAAATAATATCTAATTAAGAACAAATTAACTCAATAAGTTCTTTCTGAGTTCATTTCGAAGTCTTTTCTTAAAAAATCTAGTGTTCTCAATTTCCTTCATATCAAGAGGCAGTTCATTATACAGTTTTGCCCCCCGATAGGAAAACATTCTTTGCCCAGTTGCAAGCCTACATTTGGGCAAATTTAAATCATTACAATGTCTAGTCGATCTGCTATGTATGGCAGAACGAGGCATAAACTTATCGGATAAATATGCTGGTACTCTGCCATGAAGGCATTTATGGACCATAACGGCATCATTTAGGAATAGTGTGTCCTTTACATTGAGCCATTTCAAAGATTGTATGCCTTCAGAAATATGGTCATATTTCCTGAGTCCCAGAACAATTCTTGCAGCAAAATTCTGCACTAGTTGCAGCCTCTTTACATTTTGTTTAGATGTATTGCTCCATATAGTTGAGCAATAAAATAACTTACTGAAAACAAATACTTCCATCAGGAGGAGAATGGTTTTTCTATCAAGCAAACATGGGCGTACCGGAAGGAAAAAATTAGGGGGGCGGAAAGAAAATTGCACGACTTTTCGTAAAATTGCCCGACTTTTCGTTATTGGGCCCGACTAGTACAAAAAAAATTTTTCCGGAAAATTTATTTTGGCGACCTCCCCCCCCCCCGTCGCCAAAAAAATTTCGGTCAGTGTACCATTTAAGGGGTCAAAAAAATTTTCCGGACATAACAAAATTTTTCGGAGCATAACATAAATTTTCCAAAAAACACTACATTTGCCACAAAATTGACTAAATTTTCGAAAAAATTGACAGAATTGGTCCGATTTTTTTTTAAACAACCCAAAATTGCCCGACTGTTAATCGAATATTGCCCGACTGCCCAAAAAACTGGGGGGCTACCGCCCCCCGGTACGCCTATGCAAGCAAATGTTTGATCCGATTAATTCTTGACAGTTTAAACATGCAATTTGAAACTAATTCCTTAGTATTTTCATTATAGCTAAGATAACAGTCAATACTAACGCCTAAGTCTTTGACTACGGGAACAGGATTGATCACCTTTCCTAATATCTTGATCGGTGGTATCGGTGGTAGGTTACGGATCAATTGCGAGACCCCGATTACTTGAACCTTTGTTTTTTCCGAATTTATTAGAAGCGAGTTTGCACAACACCATCTCGATATCTCATTTAGATCTTCATTCAAAGCAGATATAGCGCTGCTAAGATCACGTGGTGGAAAGGCGATGAAAGTTTTTGTATCATCAACATAACCCATAGATTTGCATCTTCTAGGAACTGACAGAATCTCGTTTACGTATACTGTAAATAAAAGTGGTCCCAAAATGGAATCTTGTGGTACACCCACAGACAGAGGCAAAGACGTGGAAAGGGTATCTTGTATTTTCACGGTCTGTGTACGTCGGGACAAATAGCTTTCAAACCAGGTTATTGCCGAGTCACCTGCACCTACTTTGCGTAACTTGGACAACATCAAATCATGGCGAATGCTATCGAACGCTTTAGACATGTCTAATAGCACAACAACTGATACTTGTTTCATGTCCATATTCTTTAGAATTTCGTCAGTAAAATAGAGAAGTCCTGTTTCCGTGGAGTGGATTTTCCGATTTCCTGACTGAAATTGGGCAATTTTTCCGTTTGAATCTAAATATTCAGTGAATTGCACATGTGCTGATCTCTCAACAACTTTAGATATGATAGGCAGAAGCGAAATTGGACGTGTATTAGTCGGCTCATCAGGATCTCCCGATTTTATGCACGGTGTAACCTCCGCTCGTTTCCAAACTTGAGCAAACTCACATGATGAAAAGGAGTAATTTATTAAGTTTGTAATTGTAGGAATCGTCACGGGTAAACTATCCTTTAAAATTCTAGCTGTTACTCTATCATATCCAGGAGCTTTATTCGATGGTAAACTTTTTATAATCCTATTTACATCATCTTGGGTCACAGAATGAAAGGTGAAAGGAGCGCAATTTACATCACTCATATTGCTATTTGTATCTTGATAATCACTGACACTTGTTGTAAAACCCAATTTTTCAGCAATTTCATCAGCCATAGCAGAAGCGTTTATCCCCACCGACGCATAGTACTCATTAAATCTGAATGCTTGTGTTTTTGGGTCTTCTGTTGAGACAAATTGTGGTTGTCGTCTCGGGAGGCAACGGTTTATAACTTTCCAAATAGAATTTGTATTACCATTACTATTATTTATTTCATTACATACATTTTCCTTTTCTGCAAATCGAATTTCGCGCTTCACCTCTTGCCGAAAAGAACGATATGCATTCCAATGCATTTTATCATTTGTTTTAATTGCACTTTTGTGCCACTTATCGCGTGTTTTCATAAGTTGCCTGATCTCAGGGCTAATAAAGGGATTTGGTCTCGACTTAATTTTAATTCGTTTTATTGGAGCGTGTTTATCCAGAACATCCAAGAATAAACAATTAAAAGCCTCAACTTGATCATCTAAGTCGTCAAAACAACTAACCATATGAAAGGGTACATTTGCCAAATCATCCACAAACTTTTCCCGGTTATAATTTTTATAGCTTCTGGTAGTGATAAACGTACAACGGGGTCGAGGAGACTTTAGTATCAAACAAACCAAACTATGATCACTTAATGCCGCCGGTTTTACATCGCATGTATCTATAATATTGGTATTTGTAGTTAAGGCTACATCGATGAGGGTCTGAGAAGTATCGGTCACTCTTGTTGGTTCTTTGACTAATTGTTTCAGATTAAATTCAACACAGAAATCTGATAAAGCACGGCCACTTACGCAGCTGTCCATTAGATTGCAATTTAAGTCACCTACCAAAATTACTTCAAGACCAGGTAATAAACAATCTATCAATGCATTGCCCAGGTCTTCCAAGAAACCCATTGGTGTGTCAGGGGGTCTATATGCTGCACACAATAAGAATGACTTTAGTTTTTTACACTGTACCTTAATCCATAATTGTTGAAAACGATTTTCAGTCACGAGCGATGATTTTTTAATGACAGATGCTTTATAAATATCCTTAACGTAAACAGCCAAACCCCCGCCTTTCTTTTCTCGATCTTGTCTGAACATAACATATCCCGGGATATATATATCCATGTCAGTAATAGATTAATCAAGCCATGTCTCTGAAATCGCGAATATATCGTAGTCATTGAAGGTAATTTTATGACTTACGAGAATGAATTTCTCTCGAGATACCATTGAGCGAACATTCAAATGTCCTATGGCTATTTGGTTCCTTGTAGAGCTTTTTGGCGTTTGTTTAGCTGTTAAAGTACCTCTCTGGTTTAAAGGACCAGGGTGAGGTTGAATATCACCGCCTAGCAGGATTTCTACAACCCTAAAATCGTATTGACTTTCAGGTAGAATAATAGCTGTTCGTCCATGCTTTGACCACTCGCCAACTGGAAACTTTATTCGGTTACAGCGAGGCAAAGTTCGTGCGATAAAGTTACAAGACCTCCAAAACGGAACAGGAGGAGCATCTGAAATATTATAGTTCCAGCAGCAGAACAAGAAAGCCAAAACAGCACAAATAATTAAGAGCCGACCTGATGCATGACCGGCCATGTTGCTTCACTTCCTTCACTATAATAACAGGAGAGGTAAGATCATCCAATAATTTCATTGTTCGAAGCGAGAGGAAACCATTATATTGGACAATTGCAAGAGTGAGCCCCAAAGTATTTTATCGAGGCTGCTATGATGTTATACGATTTATTACGTTCGGAACTATTTGAGCAGATTGGGTTAGCGAGTGACAACACCCACTTTGATCCTACCCTATTATTATTAGTCAAAATCATCGACGTAATATTTCGTGTGTAAATAAATATGGCGCATTTTGAAATCATACAGTATTTGCATAACATGTAAATGTATTTATGGATTTAGAAGCAGTGTCAAGCAAGATATTGATTTACTGCTATTTAGATAGAATACTATTGTTGTCAAATTAAATTGGTCCTAAAGCCCGTGGTTTAAGTATTATAATTGTTTCCTATTATGTACTCTTGTTGCGATGTTGAGGATCCTCGTAGTTACAAAACTGTATGTCCTAAGTGCAATTCTGCCCGTAGGCCCACAAAATCATTAATGTGCTGTGTATTTATGAACTGTTAGTACTTTTCTTTGTTGTTTAATATGTGCAGTCTTATCATTCATTTATTCGGACCCGAAATAATTGGCAATTCCGCTGTTGAGGATTCCCCGCCCCTGCATGTGTAATAGATTGAAATTAATTTGATCCAGTACGTTGTCGGCGCGAGAAAAAATCACACATGTAACCTATGCTCAGGGTCGTAATGAGGGGAGTATTTGGGCGGGGGGGGGGAATCGGGTTGGCCATTCGGCAAATTACGGCAATAATAGTATAACGAAATTTAAGTTGTTACAGAGAAAATATTATAGAATTGTATTCGTCAGTATAAACTGATTTATGAAATCATGGCATTTACATGGATAACAAGTTACAAATCAAAAAATCGGCAAATGGTTTTCGGTTTATTACTTCTGTAATGGCCCATTTTTCAAAAATCACTAGTAGTGTTAATCATTAATTGCACTCCTTCCCGTGTGATTTTATTTTTGTTTCTTCCCTATACTAATTTAGTGCGTATTCATTTTCCGAATAGCAAACACCTTCGTGGCTTCGTATTTCATGAACGATTCGGAAATTATTTTCGTCATTCGGAAATTTTTGCAGTACGTGCTAGCTACGCCCTGTCTATTCTTTATTCCTAGAGGTTAGTACTTGCCAAAAATAGATTTAAAACCATTGAAGTCGGTGCGTTTTCTAACGCGGAAAGCGTGTCTAAGAAAAATAATTCCAATGTTTTCAATACAAATTTGATATTCAGTGCATGTAATTCCGCGTTATTCTGCTTGTATATGTTCAACTGTGTAGTGATTTGATCTTTTCATTTTCATATGCTTTGTAAATTTGCGTCTTTGAGTATAAAATTGCTGCTAACCAAGGCGATATACCATGAACGAATCCAATAGTAACATTTCTTGATGCTAGCTTATGTAGTTACGTAGGTTTACCAATTGCAATCTGTCATCATTTTGGTAATTTTATATAAAAGATGATGAAATGTTTTGGTGCAATAGACATAAATTCACTAAAGAAGAGATTTTGAAGATTTGTGACACGTCCGCAATACTTAAGTTAATTACCTTTTCCGTTCCGTTTTCAAAATATGGATAGAAATCGTGGGCATCGTTGCCATAAGATAGAGTGTAACTGGTGATCCATTGGGGCACATCGCCTCTCGCTTGTGTTAAAACTCCTATAATGACAGCTTCAACACGAAAGTCTATTTGCAGCCAAGATCCATTTCGAGTTTTGGGAACCCAGCCTAAAGATCTCCATCCGTCAGTTTCCCAGCCTCCATCTGGCCTTTGGAAGTTCAATCTTGCATTAGCTGCCCGGTGTTTGTCGCCGTGTTCAGACGAGGCTGAGATCTGTGAATCCAAGACCTGACGATTTTCCATACCAAGACGTGATGGTTTGATGCATCCTAGATAAAAATATGAAATGTCAGCATTTTTTATGTAGTATTCGTTTTTATTTTTTAGCTTAGTGATTAGTAAAATAAGGCAAACGAATCTACGAAGACAATAACTTTGTTAACTCATGGAAATTGCTTCACGCAACATAAAGGACTAGTCCAGTGTTTCTCAAGGTTGTGGATACATGGAAGTAGCGATATGGTAAGAGACCGAGGGTTAAATATTTTATCATTAACGTTGGAGGCGGTGGTTAATATTGGGCCAACATGCAAGGTGTTTTTTGATGATTCACATGAAGTCCATGTTTTGTGTGTAGTCCTCGTAGGAACGTAGGTAGTCCAAGGTAGGGACCTCCAAACATACAAGGTACTCATAATGTGTAATAAACACATCTTGGTTAAACTTTATCAGACGCTTCTTATTAGATGTTGAATTAACTTTGGGAACGCTTTTCCATTTCGCGTTTCAGTGAATATCTTTGCTCTCTTAATTTGCTTCTTTTCGCGGTATAACAGAATGACAGACTTTACAAGCGAATTTGTCATCACCAATTCGTAATAATGTTAGCAGACCATGACTCGCAAAGTTCAAATTGCGCAAAAATCTAGTCTGAAGAAAGAGCGCATTCTGTTCGACTTTTTGTGTATGGAATCAGGACGAAGATCAAGGTCCAACAAACTGGCAATATTTTGATGGCTGCTTGCTAAATATTAATGCAAAGTATATCAATCAGCTAGGTTTGGTAAAAGTGAAAAAGCTAGGTGTCTCACCATGCAATCAGTTATTATTTTTTCAGCATGCAGAATATTCTAAACACGGATACCAGGCATTTGAAGCAGAGCAATCACAACCGCGATTTTAATGTAATATATTCGTTATAATGTACTCATTTCTATATTTTCATTTATTTTTTCCGAGTAGAATCTCAGAAAAATAAATCGCATAGAACATTCACTGTACTAATACCTGGACCAGACATGGAAAAGAAGAAATTCGCTCATGTCATTAGCATAAAAAAATAACATCTCTCCCAACTTGGCCTCATGGCTCAGAAGATACAGCGTCTTTCTAGAAATGCGAAGGCTGCGGATTCGATACCCAGCCGTGGTCAAGAAGAATTAATTTTCTCCTTGCACGGCTGCTACTCGTAAGATGATCAAAACACCTATACATTACATCACGAGTAGAATCTCAGAAGAAGAATCACAAACAACTTTCGCTGGATTAATTTCTGGCACGAGGCATGGAAAAGAAAATATTCGTTCATGTCATATACTATCACAAAAAATAAAATCGTTGCCAACTTGGCCTTCTAGCTCAGAAGTGGAGCGTCGTTGTTGAAATACGAAGGTCCCCGGTTCGATTCCAAGACGTGGTCTAGTAGAATTAATTTTCTGCTTGCCCGCTTGATACTCGTATGATCAGTATATATATATATATATATATATATATATATATATATATATATATATATATATATATATATATATATATATATATATATATATAACTTGTGGTAAGGATTTCTTCAGACATAAATAATATCCAAACTATTAATATCCAAACGTTTCGCCGGTTAAGGCTTTTTCAGTGGATTGTTAGTAGCAATATTAATATCCTATATATACAAGCATATCTAATTAAAAATTCTAACTTAGTTCTACTGTAAGAGAAGTAATCAACATATCTAATGATGCATTAGTGCGCGCCAGTTCCTGTTGGATTAAGTCCCATTAAAAATGTTAAAAGTACTCCACAGGTTAAAACAGCTCCTAATTAATTCTAGTTTAAAACCGTTCTATATACATATTTTTCTCTCACACAACCGTTCATAATGTCTTCAGGTTGGTTCTGTATTTCTGAAGCCTCGATATATCTTCGTTCCTCGTCATTTCGGATATTTGAATGCTGAATACTCCAAGTGATCTTATTTGCTGTACGTTTCTTATGAGATAATAAATGCTTAAACACAGTTTGCTTATCCATTGTTAGATGTTGTTTAATCCGTGTTTCTATTGCTCGGCTAGCCTCCCCTATGTAAACGGTTCCGCACGTTACACACTTAATTTCGAACTTCGTGACTTGAGTAACCTTGATTTCGAACAGCTTATTAGACTATCCCTCACTAGCCACAATGTATTGATTGGTAGTAAAGCTTATAAACAGAGATCGGGCTTAGCGATGGGGGATAATTTAGCTCCCGTATTAACTATAATATACATGAACGAACTAGACGATCAAATTCGGGCAAAATCTAATGGATGTGCCACCCATAAACGCTACATGGACGATTATTTTGCTTTCCTGATATCCAAAGAGTTCACGGCCAAACGACTTCTTGAAACAGCTAATAGCTTAAACAACGCCATCTAATTTACACTTGAGTTACCCAGAGATAATCAATTACCTTTTTTGGATACTTTAATTACGTTTAATTCCCAGAAAAAACATTTTCCACAACTCTCTACATAAAACCAATCCACAGTCGATGCATCACACCCTGGGATAGTCATGGTTCGGTGGCGTCTAAACGAGCAGTTTTAATAGGCGAAATAAAGAGGGCAGTTAGATGTTCTACCGATTGTGCTACTCAAAAACAATCATTGAAGCAAATCACACAATTGTTTGTGCACAATGGTTACCCCACTAGAGAGATGAATGAATCGTTTATTAACTCAATTATTGCAGTACTAAGACTGAATTACAATTGGTTGGTATAAAATTTATAAATACATAGTAATAATGTTTAAAAAAATTGTTATATATATATATATATATATATATATATATATATATATATATATATATATATATATATATATATATATATATATATATATATATATATATATATATATATATATAT